TACTACCATGCACACGTTGAGTACTGATGGTTCTACTACCATCCACACGTTGAGTACTGATGGTTCTACTACCATGCACACGTTGAGTACTGATGGTTCTACTAAACCCTCCACACGTTGAGTACTGATGGTTCTACTACCATCCACACGTTGAGTACTGATGGTTCTACTACCATGCACACGTTGAGTACTGATGGTTCTACTACCATCCACACGTTGAGTACTGATGGTTCTACTACCATCCACACGTTGAGTACTGATGGTTCTACTACTATCCACACGTTGAGTACTGATGGTTCTACTATCATCCACACGTTTGAGTATGATGGTTCTACTACCATGCACACGTTGAGTACTGATGGTTCTACTACCATGCACACGTTGAGTACTGATGGTTCTACTACCATCCACACGTTGAGTACTGATGGTTCTACTACCATCCACACGTTGAGTACTGATGGTTCTATACCATCCACACGTTGAGTACTGATGGTTCTACTACCATGCACACGTTGAGTACTGATGGTTCTACTACCATCCACACGTTGAGTACTGATGGTTCTACTACCATGCACACGTTGAGTACTGATGGTTCTACTACCATCCACACGTTGAGTACTGATGGTTCTACTACCATCCACACGTTGAGTACTGATGGTTCTACTACCATGCACACGTTGAGTACTGATGGCTCTACTACCATCCACACGTTGAGTACTGATGGTTCTACTACCATCCACACGTTGAGTACTGATGGTTCTACTACTATCCACACGTTGAGTACTGATGGTTCTACTATCATCCACACGTTGAGTACTGATGGTTCTACTACCATGCACACGTTGAGTACTGATGGTTCTACTACCATGCACACGTTGAGTACTGATGGTTCTACTACCATCCACACGTTGAGTACTGATTGGTTCTACTACCATGCACACGTTGAGTACTGATGGTTCTACTACCATGCACACGTTGAGTACTGATGGTTCTACTACCATGCACACGTTGAGTACTGATGGTTCTACTACCATGCACACGTTGAGTACTGATGGTTCTACTATCATCCACACGTTGAGTACTGATGGTTCTACTACCATGCACACGTTGAGTACTGATGGTTCTACTACCATGCACGCGATGAGTACTGATGGTTCTACTACAATGCACGCGATGAGTACTGATGGTTCTACTACCATGCACGCGATGAGTACTGATGGTTCTACTACCATGCACACGTTGAGTACTGATGGTTCTACTACCATGCACACGTTGAGTATTGATGGTTCTACTATCATCCACACGTTGAGTACTGATGGTTCTACTACCATGCACACGTTGAGTACTGATGGTTCTACTACCATGCACGCGATGAGTACTGATGGTTCTACTACCATGCACACGTTGAGTACTGATGGTTCTACTACCATGCACACGTTGAGTACTGATGGTTCTACTACCATGCACACGTTGAGTATTGATGGTTCTACTATCATCCACACGTTGAGTACTGATGGTTCTACTACCATGCACACGTTGAATACTGATGGTTCTACTACCATGCACACGTTGAGTACTGATGGTTCTACTACCATGCACACGTTGAGTACTGATGGTTCTACTACCATGCACACGTTGAGTACTGATGGTTCTACTACCATCCACACGTTGAGTACTGATGGTTCTACTACCATGCACACGTTACTAAGTACTGATGGTTCTACTACCATGCACACGTTACTAAGTACTGATGGTTCTACTACCATGCACACGTTACTAAGTACTGATGGTTCTACTACCATGCACACGTTACTAAGTATGATGGTTCTACTACCATGCACACGTTACTAAGTATGATATGGTTCTACTACCATGCACACGTTACTAAAGTACTGATGGTTCTACTACCATGCACACGTTACTAAGTACTGATGGTTCTACTACCATGCACACGTTACTAAGTACTGATGGTTCTACTACCATGCACACGTTACTAAGTACTGATGGTTCTACTACCATGCACACGTTACTAGGTACTGATGGTTCTACTACCATGCACACGTTACTAAGTACTGATGGTTCTACTACCATGCTCACGTTACTAAGTACTGATGGTTTACTACCATGCACACGTTACTAAGTACTGATGGTTCTACTACCATGCACACGTTACTAAGTTACTGATGGTTCTACTACCATGCACACGTTACTAAAGTACTGATGGTTCTACTACCATGCACACGTTACTAAGTACGATGGTTCAATACCATGCACACGTTACTAAGTACTGATGGTTCTACTACCATGCACACGTTACTAATACTGATGGTTCTACTACATGCACACGTTACTAAGCACTGTTGGTTCTACTACCATGCACACGTTACTGAGTAACTGATGGTTCTACTACCATGACACACGTTACTAAGTACTGATGGTTCTACTACCATGCACACGTTACTGAGTACTGATGGTTCTACTACCATGCACACGTTACTGAGTACTGATGGTTCTACTACCATGCACACGTTACTGAGTACTGATGGTTCTACTACCATGCACACGTTACTAAGTACTGATGGTTCTACTACCATGCACACGTTACAAGTACTGTTGGTTCTACTACCATGCACACGTTTTACTAAGACTGATGGTTCTACTACCATGCACACGTTACTGAGTACTGATGGTTCTACTACCATGCACACGTTACTAAGTACTGATGGTTCTACTACCATGCACACGTTACTGAGTACTGATGGTTCTACTACCATGCACACGTTACTGAGGTATGATGGTTCTACTACCATGCACACGTTACTGAGTACTGATGGTTCTACTACCATGCACACGTTACTAAAGTACGATGGTTTCTACTACCATGCACACGTTACTAAGTACTGATGAGTCTACTACCATGCACACGTTACTAAGTACTGATGTTTCTACTACCATGCACACGTTACTAAGTACTGATGGTTCTACTACCATGCACACGTTACTAAGTATGATGGTTCTACTACCCTGCACACGTTAATAAGTACTGATGGTTCACTACCATGCACACGTTACTAAGTATGATGGTTCTACTACCTGCACACGTTACTAAGTACTTTTGGGTTTTACTACCATGCACACGTTACTAAGTACTGATGGTTTTTACTACCATGCACACGTTACTAAGTACTGATGGTTCTATACCCTGCAAAACGTTACTAAGTACTGATGGTTCTACTACCATGCACACGTTACTTAGTACTGATGGTTCTACTACCATGCACACGTTACTAAGTACTGATGGTTTACTACCGTGCACACGTTACTAAATACTGATGGTTCTATACCATGCACACGTTACTAAATACTGATGGTTCTACTACCATGCACACGTTTAAGTACTGATGGGTTCTACTACCATGCACACGTTACTAAGTACTGATTTGGTTCTACTACCATGCACACGTTTACTAAGTACTGATTTGGGTTTTAAATACCAGCACACGTACTAAGTACTGATGGTTCTACTACCATGCACACGTTACTAAGTACTGATGGTTCTATACCATGCACACGTTACTAAATACTGATGGTTCTACTACATGCACACGTTACTAAGTACTGATGGTTCTCTACCATGCACACGTTACAAGTACTGTGGTTCTACTACCATGCACACGTTACTAAGTACTGATGGTTCTACTACCATGCACACGTTTCTAAGTACTGATGGTTCTACTACCATGCACAGTTTTCAAGTACTGATGGTTTTTACACCATGCAAACGTTACTAAGTATGATGGTTCTACTACCATGCCCCACGTTACTAAGTACTGAGGTTCTACTACCATGCACACGTTACTAAGTACTGATGGTTCTACTACCGTGCACACGTTACTAAAGTACTGATGGTTCTATACATGCACACGTTACTAAGTACTGATGGTTCTACTACGTGCACACTTACTAAGTACTGATGGTTCTACTACCATGCACACGTTACTAAGTACTGATGGTTCTACTACCATGCACACGTTACTAAGTACTGATGGTTCTACTACCATGCACACGTTATAAGTACTGATGGTTCTACTACCATGCACACTTACTAAGTACTGATGGTTCTACTACCATGCACACGTTACTAAGTACTGATGGTTCTACTACCATGCACACGTTACTAAGTACTGATGGTTCTACTACCATGCACACGTTACTAAGTACTGATGGTTCTACTACCATGCACACGTTACTAAGTACTGATGGTTCTACTACCATGCACACGTTACTAAGTACTGATGGTTCTACTACCATGCAGAGGGAATTTGGGATATTTTTTACCGCTGTTTTTTACTGATTTGTTTTCTCCCAAAAAGTCCTTAAAAAAACATAAACTTCAACATTTTTTATTATGGAATCTATTGACATTTTCGCTGAAACGACTTTGGTACCAAGATTATCTAGCTCTTATCTTTTATCTGATGTCAACTAGATCATTATATGTCTTATCAGTTTTGTAGACGAGGGAGAGTTTTATGCCCTATCGAATAGGGCACTATTAAATTTTTTCTATCTATCTTTTAAGGCAGAAAAGTCACTACAAACACAGTGTGTAGGCTTCAAATGCTGTTTAAATCACATTAAAAATTTAATTGAAATTGGACCAAAAACACATAAATATAATTATTTAGATCGCACCTCGCTTCAAGAAGGTGCTGGACAGACAGCTACAGTCAGTACCTGACCAGCCGAGCTGTGGTTCATATATCAGTTTCCATGCAGCTCGTAGTAACCGGGCCACGGGGGCAGTGACCCCTGAAACCCTCTCGAAGTATGTTCTAGGTACTCCAGAAAACTAAGTTAAATGCAATTTTTTAAAGAGTTTATTGTGTATGTAGCATTTTTCACAGCCAACTCCTTGCATTCAAAGCAATTTTGATTGTTATTTATTTAAAAAATCTAACACAAGACTCGTTTAAAACCACTTTTATTATTTTTTTCAGACTTTGCACTTTATTTATAATGGGATTGTGTCTACTGTGGGGGATCTTCTACTTCTCTGGCCTCGTCGCCTATGCTGTCTACAACAACTGTGATCCATATACCTCGGGAAGAATAACAAAACCTGACCAGTTAATGCCTTATCTGGTAGCAAATAAGTTGAATCATCTACCAGGCTTGTCAGGGCTCTTCGTAGCAGCGGTATATGGTGGTGTTCTCAGGTCAGACTCTACACCAATTATTAGAAATAATGAAGTAAATGACCCTCGCCTTAGTTAAAGTATTAAGGATCCCAGTTTCTTGACCAATTTTGTTTCACTTATAATTTGTGACTTACCACTTACAGGATGGACATGAGATGCATAAAAAAGTTACCAAACTAATCAAAACAACTTGCATATTAATTATTATAATAGAAAGACAAGTGCTAAACCTACAAGGGTCGTACAGCACCACAGGGCAGGGAAGGATACAGGGGCATTGGGTAGCAAGAGGGATACAGGGGCATTGGGTAGCAAGAGGGAGAGGGATGATTATTAGGTCAAGAGATTGAGGTAGAAAGGGCTGTGAGGAGTACTAGAGGCATCATCATCAGAGTTTGTGACGTATATCAGTTGCTGTCAAAAAGTCAGTAAGAGAGTCTAGGTTAAAGGAGGGTCCATCAGCAAGAAGGGAAGGTAAAGTAAGGGCAGTTAGAGCAGTGACGGCATTGGAGGTAAATTCTGCGTGCTCGTTGATAGAGTGGGGAGTCCAACAGAATGTGGCTAACAGAAACTGGAAACTGACAATTCTCACAGAGGAACAGGGAGCCTCTCCATGAGATACCTGTGAGTATGACGAGTGTGGCCAATGCAAAGACGGGAGAGAGTAGTCTCCCGACCTCGACATTGATGACAAGAAGACGGCCAGAAACCTATACTTGGTTCAGTAGAATGTAGTTTATTATGAAGCAGATCAGACCAACGTTTTTGCAAATAGGTGCGACGGTGGGTTGCAATTACAGCAAACTAGTCAATGAATGGAACACCTCTATATGAAACTGGGAAGTCATGTACTGCTGACCGTGTAGCAGAGTCTGCCTGTTCATTGCCCTGTACATCAACATGACTGGGGACCCAATAAAAAACAATATCTTTGTGCTTGCTAGAGATACGGTGTAACCAAAGATGGATACAAAAAACCAGGAGAAGAGGTGTATCAAATTTTCGTATAGCCTGTAAAGCACTAAGGGAGTCTGAAATGACCACAAATGGTGACACAGGCATAGATATAATACAGATAAGTGCTACGAGAATGGCATACAATTCAGCCATAAAAATGCTAGCTGGGGATAATAAATGCCCTCACACGATGCTGTCCTGAAACTGCTGCGAATCCGACACCATCAGAAGACTTGGAGCCATCAGTGTACACTGCAATGGCATGAGAATGAGATCGGAAGTGGTTAAGAAAAAGAGAGCGAGTAATCACCATAGGCAGTTGGGCTTTTGCGCATGGCAGTGGGAAAGAATAGACACGAACCATCAGAACTTCCCAAGGGGGCAGGGAAAAGTGAGATGCTATATGAACATAGAAAGGTGGTAATTGAAGAGAAGACAAGAGCGAATGTAGGCAAAGAGAAAAAGGGTAGAGTAAACGGGGGCGACGAACAAATAAAGAACGTCTACTAACATCAGTGACTATCCTATATATGGAAGAATTGCGGAGGTCATGAAAGCATAATAGCGAAGGCAATGAGCATCACGGCAATCGGACAAGGATGGAATGTTCTCCTCTGCATAGAGGCTCTCTACCGGTGAAGAGCAAAAATCACCGAGGCATAAACGTAATCCCTGGTGATGGATGGGATTAAGGCTAGAGAGAGTAGCAGGAGAGGCTGTTGAATATATCTAGTCACCATAATCAAGTTTCGATAAAATTAAGGCTGAAAGTAGTCAAAGGAGAGTTCTACGATCAACCCACCATTAAAGATCAGCGAGTGTTTTAAGAAGGTTCAGGCAGTTGTGACAAGTTGCCTTCAGAGAGGTAATGTGAGGTTCCCAGGACAACCTACGGTCAAAGAGAAGGCCGAGAAACCTGACCGTATCACGTTCTGGAATACACGAACCATATAGGTACATTGGATGATCAGAGACGTCAGAACGTCTAGTGAAAGTAATGTGGTGAGTTTTAGTACTAGAAAATTTAAACCCATGAGTAGTGGCCCAATTGGAAACACGGTTGACCGCATGCTGGAGAGAAACTGCAATAAAGTGACAGTCAGCGCCTGCACAAGCTATAGCGAAGTCATCAACATAGAGCGATGACCAAATATTGGATTGAAGAATAGAGGACAGATCATTAATAGCCAGAGGAAAAAGTGTTGTGCTCAGAAAACATCCCTGTGGGACACCTTCAGCTTGGACAAAGTCCGAGATAAGCATATTATTAACCCAAACATGAAAATGTCTTTCTGTTTAAAAGTTCTGAAGGAAAAATGGTAGACTGTCTCAGAGGCCTAAGGAGTGGGCCTGGGCCAAGATATTATACCTCCAAGTTGTGTCATATACCTTCTCCGCAGATATGCCGTATTCTATTCAAGATTGATGGACTGAAGTACCATCCTCCGGAGAGGCATTGGATTCGCCTGACCTTCCTCATATTATAACAAATTTCCAGAAAAAACTGAGCATCTTGAACAGATCCTGACAAGTTTAATAAACCTATGTAATCAGGATGATGCTCTTGAGTATGGTGATGATGTCAAAAGTGCAGCAATCTCCGATCAGTTTCAAGCAATTTATAAGAAAGATGCCCATGACTCTTGGCTTCAAGACTTGTCTTTTAACTGGCTGCCAAGATGTCGAAAAATGCTTAAAAATAAAGGTCCTGAAGATAAACACGTACAAACTATGTTATTTGCTCTTAAGTGCCTGCACACTGTAGCCAAAGTATTATAGTTTTACCATCTTATGAGCAAGAGATTGTAATAACTCACTACAATGGACAGGGCCGGATTAAGAAGTCTCCGGGCCCTAGGCTATTCAGATTGGCGGGGCCCCTTTGAGTTACGGGTAAGCGAAGCGACCCCTTCCAGCTTGGGGGTTGGGGGGTGGGGGGGTCGGTGTGAGCTTGTTTAAGGTCTAATTAAATACATTCTGGCTATTTAGATTAAATTTAATAGGGAAAGTACATCAAGACAACCAAAACCATTTACCAACAGCCATTATAACTATCTTGTTAAATCATGCACTTTAAAGAGAATAAACTCAAGACAGCATAGTATTACTAGATTAGGCTATTAAAGTAGTGACATCATGTACCTATTATATTCAGCATAACCACTACAGCACTATTATTCCCTTTATAAATCACTGACCATTATTGTTATCATTGCATCATGCATAAGACTATCAAATCATATAAACTCAAGAAAGTAAAGAATTGTTTATATTCACAGGCACTTCTTAAATAAACTTTTTTCTGGATTTCATATTGGCAAAATCATCAATTATATTCTGAAAATCAATATTTCTTGTTAGATCAGACTCAGTGGTCAACAAGGCTAGGTTACACAATTTGTCTTGGCTCATTGTTGAACGGAGCTGGTTTTTCACTCTTTTCAAAACAGAAAATGAACGTTCTCCTTCACAGTTAGTAGCTGGAAGTGTTAGGTAAAGGCGATACACTATGTCAACATTAGGGAAGGTTTCTGAGATACCTGCATTTCTTAAATGTTTCAAAGCAGCTGAAGGCGCACATTTTTCAGGTGGAGCTTTAATCTGATTCATATACCCAGAAAAATTAACTATTTCTTCAACAAATGTGTCCTGAACATCTGCTGAAAGGTGTTGTTGCAACTTTAATGCAGCTTCTCTCAAGTCTGCATCTGGCATAGTAGTAATTTTGAACAGAAATCCAAACTTGTCATTGATATTCTGGTAGATTTCTTTTCTTTTCACCAATTCTGTAATCAGTGAATCCAGAATGACGAAGTATGTAGCTGTCTTACATTTCTTCAGTTAATTTGTCACAGTACAAGTCTAGATAACGTGTAATTACTACAGAAAATTGGAGAGAAATCTCCCATACTCACCCATTAGCGGGAAAACACAGCTGTTCTGATGTAAACAAAGGCGTGTTGAGTGTTGCCATCTATGGTTAGGTTTATTTATTTTTGTTTTATTTTATTTCATTATTTTTGTTTTGATTAATTTTTAAAAATCAATTTTACTCTACAAATACTTGAACTTTTTAGGTAGGGACCCCTTTGCACTTGCACCATGTGCACAGTCTTGGATGAGCCCCTGAACCCCTTGGACCGCGGGGCTCTCAAATGCGCGGGGCCCTAGGCAAATGCCTAGTTTGCCTATGCGGTAATCAGGCCCTGACAATGGATACATTACAAATCTTTTCATGGAACATTGCTTCCATCAGGAAGCGGTTGCCTGACTTACATCATATTAGTGCAACCAAGAATATTGATGTCATGTGTTTGCAGGAATGTAGATTGAAAGATGGCGCACCTCCACCAAACTTGCCTGGATATGCAGCTTATAACCTAAGGTCAACCAACTGTTGTGTGATGTATGTCAGAAAGAACTTGCCACATTTACTCCTTTCCTTGCAGAGTCGAGTTAACATGCAGTATCATGGTGTCAAAGTATATGCAGGCGATTTTTTCATAAACATTTTTATCTCTATGCCCCAGCAACCAGGCTTCGACCTGATGCTTTACCAGATCACATTTAACAGTGAAAACCCACCCTCATTCTTGGAGATTTTAAAGCCAGACATAAGAATATTGGTGGGTCTTATAACAAACACCAATGAACTAAACTAGTGAAAAAATTTCTAAAAAGAGCATGATAATGTTCGAATTGTGGGCACTATGAGCCTACCCCACATATATGGTGGCATACTGATCTGTTCTTGGATTTAATACATCATATAAAGATGCATGACTCGGTCTAGTTGATGATCTTCTATCTGATCACTTCCAAGACTAACAACTGTCAATCTTGATCACATTCCAGCATTCAAGAATCTAAATTCAGAAGGAGGAAACTTATTCTAAACCCAAGAACACAGAGATAACTTATTAACCACTTGGATCAATGTATAAAAATTTAAACCAGCCCATGGCATCACAAAAATTTAATGATAAATTTAGTTGCCATTATTGAGACTGTCCTCACAGATCAGTGGGCAGAATAGGAAAAAAAAAACCTCCACTATAAATAAACAATAAAAAAATGTAAATACTACAATGATGAAGTATGCAATCTAACACATGCGCTAGAAGGATTGGTAAAGTATACGTGAATGTAGAACCCAGACCTGCTCAGAACGTTCCAGCTGCATAACAAATGCAAGAAATAGAAAGCAAGAACTTAGCAACAGGATTGGGAAACACTTGGTTAGTGGTTTAAAATAGTCCACCCTTTAAATTTGGCTTGGAAAGGTTTTAAATAAAAATAACCAGGAAAAGACGGGCCAATTTTTTGCTAATCCCTTTCCCTAGAAAAAGCAAATGACATATAAATGACTGGTCCAAACTCCGGGCATGAAACCTTCCATTCATTTTTAGAAAAAAAATTAGAGAGTACTTTAAAGAAATTTTGAAACTGATTAATTTTTGAGCCAAATATGGGGAGAGTTGCCTCTTCACCCAGGATAAATTTAATAATGCATTAACTAAAGGTCATCAACTGCTCCGGGAAAAGGTGGTATAACTATGATATTCTCAGAACTTAGGCACTGCCTGATAACCCTTTTGGCACTGTAAATCTAGTTACATTGAGGGCGTTCTTCAAACTTCCTGGACCAATAGTCCATTGTGTTCCCTAACCAAAGCCGGTCATTTAGCGATCCCCTTAATAGTGGTTTTGAAAGAATGTACTTAACAGACTGACTACAGAATCGGGGACCCCATTTCCCCTACCTTAGGGTTCATGAAAGGTAAAAGTGTGCAGAACTGTATTTCCAACCTTCTCACTGCCACAACCTCTACTTGTTTTCCACTTTTCTTGATCTAAAATCTGCATTTGTTATTGCGAACAGAAAACCCTTTATACTACATAAACTAGCCAAAATGAAATATTGGTGGTAGCTTACTCTGCTGGATAATAGGATACCTGTCAAATAGGTATCATCTGTCCTTACCAAGGCTTTAGAAGTGAGTCTAAAGAAATGTCTTTAGGTATACCGCCAGGGAGGGGTTCTTAGTCCCATGCTATTTTATATTCTGATTTAAAGCTCTCCTAAATGCTCTACCTACCTCACCTAAACATATAGCTATAAGCTATGCTGATGATATCATGATCCACACAACAGGCATAAGAAGATGAGTACCATTCTTAATGAAGTTCAAGCAATTTGTAATCGACTAGGCCTCATAATATCTTCCTCTAAAACAAAGATATTAAAAAAGCAAACGACATCCCCCACCCTTTTATTTGCAGGGTGAAATCATTAGCTACGTTAAAACTACAGATATCTTGGGTAGATGTACCCTTTTAAAAAATCACTATACCACAACTAAATAAGAAATGAAAAGCTAGGGTAAATGCTTCAAAGCTGTTGCTGGCTAACAACCCCAACTAAAGGTGCTAATGTGAGAATCGTGAGAATGATGTACATAGCCTATGTTAGGTTTCCCTTTAAATTTATTATGCTGTTCCCATGTTGGTATTAGCTAGGGAAAGTTCTCTCCGACCCTTGGAGTTGATGCAGAATGAAGCTCTCAGAATTATTCTTGGCTGTCCCAGATCTACAAAAGTTCTTAATATGAGGAAGGAGCTTGGTATTTCTAGTATCATGAAGGATTGTTGAGGATTAACACTGTACTTGGTATTAGAATGTTGAGAAATGAACCAGACACTGTCACAATGAATCTTACCAAGTGTCTAGAGGTAAATACACACAGATCTAAATGGATTGTGAAAACGTGCAATTGCATTTTTATAACCTGCATGAACTGTATCACTGTAGGCAATAAGAGCATTTCACCCCTCCATGGAAGATGTGTTCATTTAATATCACATACCTGTAAGTCCCTCCGAAGAAGCTCAATGCTAGTAATCACTTCCTTAAATCACTTGTTAGAGCAAATGCCCAAGAAGAAATTTCTCACCTAGGTGGTAGTAATAAGTTACATACAATGATGGATCTAAACAGGAGTCTTCTGGCAGGGCTGCATCTGCTCTTGTTGCCACCTCCCTAGTTAAGAACGATAACAAATTTGTTGAGTTAGGCATAAGAATTAACAACTGGGCGTCTACACTGCAAACTGAATTGTTTGCAATCCTAATGGCGCTAAAGCTAACCTATGACACTGAGCTTGACTCTATCATCATTACTGATTCTATGTCATCATTGAAGGCTCTTGACTCATATAATGACTCCAACAACTTGCTCATTGGAGAAGCCAGGTATAGATACTCAAAAATTAGAGAGAAAGGAATTAATGTACAATTGCTATGGATCCCATCACACATTGGACTACTTCTTTATGATAAAGTTGATATGTTAGCCAAGAAGAGTACCCAGAAGGAGAATATAGAATATAACTTTGGTATAACTGTGTCTAGCATTAGGAATAATATTAGGAGAAGTAAATAATGAAAATGATTGTTATAGGAATGCAGTTAGAAGCCTGAGTAGATCTATAACCCACTATGATAACATGAACGTAGATAAGTATGTTTATGGAGCAACTTGCAATGTGAACAGACTGACTGATGTTGTAGTGGCCAGACTGAGGCTTGGTTACAAGTACTTCTGGCAGTTTGGGAGACACACAGATGATGATCAAACTAAATGTAAATTATGTGATCAGGCATATGGTCACTCTCTTGAACACTATGTGCTTAATTGTCCACTTATTGAGGAATACAGAGACAGACAGTATAATAACCTATGTGACATGTCAAGATATCTTATTAATGAAAATAAGATACCAGATATACTAAGCAAATTTCCTAAATTTGCTTGTAACAGATAAGTGAACTATAGATATGTAGATATAAATCCACATGCATTCCTGTTAACCCTTTGGGGCCTAGTTCCTAGGCCTTTTGTGTATCCATATGCTCTCGCGCTACCGTCCACGGGATGGATATGGGGTGCACAATAAACTAGCCACTTTCGTGGCAAAATCTTATCTAAATCTGACCACATCGACTCAAGGTTGAGAGACTGATTACCTCATTCTCTTCCTTATCTTCAAGATTCTCCTTTGTATGGACTAATGAAGCCACTATGTGGCGAAATGTTTCCTCAATAAAGGTACGCAAGAGTTGTACATGTGTCTAATTTATCATTAATGTAAAGGAGTTTCATCTGCTGCACAAATGAAAAGTCACTAAACAAGGATACCAAGGTGTTACAAATGGCTTATTTTTTAACTCTGACGTTTCTACTCTTTTTGTGGGTTAATCCCCGGCTGGCTGGCTGGTTGGCTGGCTGGCTGGCTGGCTGGCTGGCTGGCTGGCTGGCTGGCTCTCTCTCTCTCTGTCTCTCTCTCTCTCTCTCTCTCTGTCTCTCTTCTTTTTTTTAACAGGGTTTGAGAAGGTTAGGCTAAGGATCCCTAGTTTTATTGACAAGCTATTTGCAGGCTAAGGATTCCTAACTTTATTGACAAACTAAGAGCTGTTACCTACATCAGCTCATTTGAAAGCATTTTTATTGTTATGAAACATACAAGTATTTTTATTGTTATGAAACAAACAAGTAGAGAACAGGATGAAGTTGGAACCATCTATGGGCCAGCATTTTCATTTGATCAACTTATCTCGTTGACATCATAATGCTGTATGAATATGTTCCATACTCGAGTCATCCTGAGCATAAATGATCTCGGATGAAGTGATGTTCTGGAGAAAGGTACAACCAGAGTGAAGTTGCTGCTTTCTGCCCGTCTTGTTTTATAGAAGCTTCCTTCTCGCTGTCCTCGAAGTGGATCCAAGTGTGGTACTTCGACAATATTGGCCTTGTATATAACAGTAAGGCCACCCACATCCCCCCTGTGTTGAAGGCTCTGCTGAAATGACAGATCTATCTAGGATGGGTCCAGGCCAGAAATGAGACGTCTTGCTCTGTTCTTTACTCTGTCAAGTAGTCGCAGATAAGAGCGGGAGCACGGGCAAATCGAGAAAGTAGAGCAAACTCAAGGTGTGAGCATACTTGTGCATCATACAGAATCTTGCAACCCCTGCTGTCAAGCAGACTAGAGATACGGGGAAGTGCTGTAAGCTTCCTGGCTGCCTTGTTTACAAGATTTACAACATGGTTCTTCATGGTCAGTTTGGAGCCATATTTCTCCCCAAGGATATCAACTTCTTCCCTAGGTACCAGCACCCTCCCATTCATACTTACTACTGCACTGGCATTACCATCATGGTGCCTAGAGACCATCATCATTTGTATTTTCTCAGGTGCAAATATTATTTGCCTCTGTTTCCCCAAGCTGATATAGCGTTCTCTCTCTCTCTCTCTCTCTCTCTCTCTCTCTCTCTCTCTCTCTCTCTCTCTCTCTCTCTCTCTCTCTCTCTCCTCTCTCTCTCTCTCTCTCTCTCTCTCTCTTAACTCCTCTGACACAGAGCTGCTGCATCTGTCCACATTTTAAACCTGGTTTTAATTTGGCAGTGTCTTACTTATCTATGACTGACACACTTCAAATTTCACAATTTTAGCTGTGGCATTTATATAGGTTAACTAATATAACTGTTATACAAACGCAACTAATCCACACTATCGAGAAAAAAATGGATAACTTTTTAATGCTCCCAGAACCATGATTGGGTTGTGATACTTTTAAATTTGTTTTATATATGTATATTGTTGCTGCCTCGGCATTCTAATAAGTTTTTTCTATTGTAGGTTTGTCCAACATGTGAATAAAATATATGTTGTATTCACCCCTACAGTTCACTATCATCAGTCGGGAACGCCATAGCTTGTGTTATCTGGGTGGACTACCTGAAGGACCTGCCGTACTTTGGTAACACCACTGAACGTCGTTCCACCAACATTATTAAGATTTTGTGTAATACATTATGCATATTTTAAAGTTCCAAACTGCAAATGCTGATGTAGATCAGTATTTATAAAGTTACAGAGAATAATTCACAATTTAATCTTCTATGGTCAAGTTCTTTATATTCAACACAAAGATCTTAGTCCATCTAGACAATAATTGTATGGCTGTGTAAATCATCTCCACTCAGAGGGCGCTAGTAAGCCTACCTGTTTATTACTGGAATCCAAAGCATTCGTCTTTCTCAAAAAAAAAAAATAACAAATTTGACAGATTGTTTGAATTTTTCTCACGCTATTAAAACCAAAGTTTTCACACAGGTAAAATAGAGATCTCTTCAAAGAAGAGAAAATGTTTATCATCTGACTAGAGGTAATATTATACCCATAAAGTTTTATTGCTTTTGTCTCTAAATTCATTATTGCTTCCTCTTTTCTGTTTCTTTGCCACAAAATTTTTAGCTTCTGCTGATATCATTTTATCCAGTTTGAAGGTATCGATGATCTCACATAGGTTGAAGAATTTGAAGTTGCAGAAGTTCTTAATTTCCATCTGGAAGGTCTTGACATTCTCGAAATCCCTTAAGCTATAGAATCTTTAAGTGGTTTTATAAATGCAATTTCTCAAAGATAGATTTGGCACCACTTCTAGGTCTATAGCCAAAAAAATATGTAATTACTGACTCTTTTCTCCTGATATCAACACACAGCAACTACGACGGTGATGGTGGGTACATGTATAGGATTACTGGTGGGAGAGCTGGGCACCATCTTTAATGTGGCCAACACCCTCATAAGCGCCATCAAGGGACCCCTTGGTGGTATCTTCCTGGTGGGCATATGTGCTCCTTGGGTTAATAAAAAGGTGAAAAGAATTTTGTATTTTGATGTTTCTTTTGTGCTCTCTTCCTAATTTTGTGTGTTCAAAGGATTATGTCTTCCCTCTGTTAATATATTAATAATAATATGCTTTATTTGATGTCATATTAGAATATTATTGTGGCTTAGAAGAGAAAGAGAAAAAGAAAGAGGGAACTAGAACTAGCAGTGTTTCTTCATCTCCTGAAGGGCGCCATCGTGAGCGTGTGTCTGGCTTTCTTGTTCAACATGTGGCTAGTGATTGGCAAACTAGTAAGAGGTGGTGGAAACCCCAAGAAGATGCCTCTCTCTACTCTCGGCTGCCCAGAGAACTTTAACAATACTCTCCGAGTCACCTTCATCGATGTTCTCCATAATGGCCTCAATAACACACTTGGCTTCAACTTCACTACAACTGCTGTACCAATGCCTGAGTCAGATTCTACATTTTTATTATTATACCACATAAGGAGTGCTAGAAGTTCTATTCTACATCTACAAATCTTGATATAAAATATTTCCATTACATTTAACTACATTTAACTCGAATGACCTTTCAATTCTATTTGTTCTTTCTTTCTGGCTTTCCACCATTTCTTTGTTTTCCTCTTGCAACTTATGTTGTTCCTGTGAATCTTGCCTTTCTCCCTCTCCTCATCCTTCTCTTCCAACCTAAATATTCTTATGTCATGTTGTGGTCACAACAAGTGCCATGTAAATCTTCCTAGTGAGTTTAGAAATACAGCTGCAAGTATGAATCATATCAGGCCCTCATAGTCCAGTGGATAATGCATTGATTTAAATCTTCGAGTCGGTTAAGTATTATTATTTTGTGGATGAGTATGACGATGACAATGCTGATAATGGTAAGAGTAATGATGATGATGATGTATCCACAGAGGCTCGGAACACACCATCTATGACATCTCGTACTGCTACAATTTGATCATTGGTATCATAAACACCTTCATCATCAGCACTGTCGTCTCCTTCCTAACAGGTAACTCAGTTACTCACACACAAAATCGTTTTCATACTCATGTTCACTCACTTTCACTTTTGCTTACTCACTCTCACCTTCATTCTTACTCCTATACTGAAGGAGAGATGATGGGGACAATGGGATGAGTGAATAGGGGAGAAGGTTTGGGTGGTGGGAAGGAAAGGTGAAGGAATGGTCCAAGATTGTTATGGGAAGGTATTCACAGATGAAAAAAAAATTCTTGGGAAAAATATATTCGATTCCTGACGCGGTGCCCCATCCTCATTTAGAGCTCCCCACTCCCCCCAAAAAATCACACCTAAGTGTGACCTGTCATACAGCCACCCTCATTTCTACTCGCAAAAATCACTCCTTAGGTATTAGTGCTACTCCCCTAAATCACCCCTCCCCCCACCATCTTGGGGACCAGCGGCTCTGTTGGATTCCCTACTACTACTTCATCTGAGATTATTCTTTTCCATAATGACTTCAAATCTGGAACATGTTTGTACAACATAATGACATCGATGAAATAAAGTCGGTTAGTCGAATGAAATTACTGGCCCACAGATGGCTCCAATTTCATTCTAATTCCTATTTAGATGTCACAAAACAATAAAAGATTTACAAATGAGCTGATTTAGGTATCAGTTCTTTGATTTTAAATACAGTAGACCGTAGTTTAACAAAGTAGTTACGTTCCTGAAAATGCCGTGTTAGACAAAACCATGTTAAACAAACTGAAGAACTTATGGGAAAAATAGGGTTATGTTCCTGGGAACCCTTCAACCCCCACAAAAAAAAAGCCAAATAACTTTTTTTTAGACCTCCAGATCTTACAAAAATAAAACGAATATGTAATTGTAGCTCATAGTCGTGATGTATTATGTTGTTTTTGCTGCTTAAGACTACATGCAACAGAAATAATAGTATTTCTTACTTTAAATTGTGGATGCTGGTGTTTGTGGATGACTGTGAAGAGAGAGGAGAGTTATGCTGTGGCCTTACTGGGCTGAGGGGGATGGTAGTGGTGCTGGTACTGAAGTCGATGGTTGTGGTGGAGTGTGCATAAACCAGTCAAGTCATTAAGTCAAGTCAGTAAGTCAATTAAGTAAGTCAGTCAGTCAAGTCAGTCAGTCATGTCATTCAGTCAGTCAGTCAAGTCATTCATTAACCCTTAAACTGTCCAAACTTATCTATTTTCACATGCCTAGTGTTCCAAAAGTAGATCTATGTTTTTTTACATATTTTCAAATATAACAAAAAAAAAAAATGTAGACCAAAGTTATTTTACACGTTTTCAAATGTAAAAAAACAAAAAGAAGATCTACGTTTTTTACATACTTTCAAATGTTGAAAAAGTGTAGATCTACGTTTGGACAGTTTAAGGGTTAAGAGAAGTCAATCAGTAAGTCAGACAAATCATTCAGTCAGTCAAGTCATTCAGTCAAGTCACTGGGGGTGGGGGTGGCTGATGCTGGCAGGGGATGGCTGTAGCCCATTCCACCCCACAGGCAACCAAATGCTCAAAAAAATTTCCCCTCTCCCAATCGTGTCTATTTATTTATTTATTTATTTATTTAATGTCTTTGCAAACAGTACATTGAGATTTTGGATTTACAATAGTGGGTTGCAATGCAAAGAGAGCCTCTATTATGCCTAGACATTATGGGCCAAAATAACATTATTGGCTTACAGTCTACTTAACACTAGGGATTATATCATAGTTGTACAGTAGGATAGTAATTATTTCATAGTTGAACAGTTGATTAATTAATTATAAGTGAATCAAAATTTGTATAAGACAAAAGATAAATTCATCTATTCAAAAATGCTTTTTGTGAAAACAATGGTACAATTATTTTCCTGTCAACAATGGATAAAAGGTTCAAAGTGATTGTTGAAGTTATGATGTGAGAGAACATAAGTGAGTATGTGTGTACTGAGTATTAGCGTTTAGTCTTGGGCGATTAAGTGGCTTTTGAGAAGAGTCCTAAATTGATTTTCAGACTGGGTTACTTTAATATCTTCTGGTACTTTTTATTTTTTTTTTATTAACACACTGGCCGATTCCCACCAAGGCAGGGTGGCCCGAAAAAGAAAAACTTTCACCATCATTCACTCCATCACTGTCTTGCCAGAAGGGTGCTTTATACTACAGTGTTTAAACTGCAACATTAACACCCCTCCTTCAGAGTGCAGGCACTGTACTTCCCATCTCCAGGACTCAAGTCTGGCCTGCCGGTTTCCCTGAATCCCTTCATAAATGTTACATTGCTCACACTCCAACAGCATGTCAAGTATTAAAAACCATTTGTTTTCATTCACTCCTATCAAACACGCTCACGCATGCCCTGCTGGAAGTCCAAGCCCCTCGCACACAAAACCTCCTTTTTCCCCTCCCTCCAACCTTTCCTAGGCCGAGCCCTACCCCACCTTCCTTCCGCTACAGACTGATACACTCTTGAAGTCATTCTGTTTCGCTCCATTCTCTCTACATGTCCGAACCACCTCAACAACCCTTCCTCAGCCCTCTGGACAACAATTTTAGCAATCCCACACCTCCTCCTAACTTCCAAACTACGAATTCTCTGCATTATATTCACACCACACATTGCCCTCAGACATGACATCTCCACTGCCTCCAGCCTTCTCCTTGCTGCAACATTCATCACCCATGCTTCACACCCATGTAAGAGCATTGGTAAAACTATACTCTCATACATTCCCCTCTTTGCCTCCAAGGACAAAGTTCTTTGTCTCCATAGACTCCTAAGTGCACCGCTCACCCTTTTCCCCTCATCACTTCTATGATTCACCTCATCTTTCATAGATCCATCCATTGACACGTCCACTCCCAAATATCTGAATACATTCACTTCCTCTATACTCTCTCCCTCCAATCTGATATCCAATCTTTCATCACCTAATCTTTTTGTTATCCTCATAACCTTACTCTTTCCTGTATTCACTTTTAATTTTCTTCTTTTACATACCCTACCAAATTTATCCACCAACCTCTGCAACTTCTCTTCAGAATCTCCCAAGAGCACAGTGTCATCAGCAAAGAGCAACTTTATGTGTGATTCTTTATCTTTTAACTCCACGCCTTTTGCCAAGTAAGTAAGTAAGTAAGTAAGTAAGTAAGTAAGTTTATTCAGGTATACACAAATACAGTTACATAGAATTATCATACATAGCAGCATATGTGTAGAGAACCTAGGATAACCCAAAAAAGTCAGACAGAGTGACTTATTTCCATTGGGGTCCAAGACCCTCGCATTTACATCTCTTACAACCCCATCTATAAATTTATTAAACAACCACGGTGACATCACACATCCTTGTCTAAGGCCTACTTTTACTGGGAAATAATCTCCCTCTTTCCTACATACTCTAACTTGAGCCTCACTATCCTCGTAAAAACTCTTCACTGCTTTCAGTAACCTACCTCTTACACCATACACCTGCAACATCTGCCACATTGCCCCCCTATCCACCCTGTCATACGCCTTTTCCAAATCCATAAATGCCACAAAAACTTCTTTAGCCTTATCTAAATACTGTTCACTTATATGTTTAACTGTAAACACATGGTCCACACACCCCCTACCTTTCCTAAAGCCTCCTTGTTCATCTGCTATCCTATTCTCCGTCTTACTCTTAATTCTTTCAATTATAACTCTACTATACACCTTACCAAGTATACTCAACAGACTTATCTCCCTATAATTTTTTCACTCTCTTTTGTCCCCTTTGCCTTTATACAAAGGAAATATGCATGCTCTCTGCCAATCCCTAGGTACCTTACCCTCTTCCATACAAATAATAGCACCAACCACTCCAACCCACCTGTTTTTAACATTTCTATCTTTATCCTATCAATCCCAGCTGCTTTACCCCCTTTCATTTTACCTACTGCCTCACGATCTTCCTCCACACTCACAACTGGCTCCTCCTCACTCCTACAAGATGTTATTCCTCTTTGCCCTATACACGAAATCACAGCTTCCCTATCTTCATCAACATTTAACAATTCCTCAAAATATTCCCTCCATCTTCCCAATACCTCTAATTCTCCATTTAATAACTCTCCTCTCCTATTTTTAACTGACAAATCCATTTGTTCTCTAGGCTTCCTTAACTTGTTAATCTCACTCCAAAACTTTTTCTTATTTTCAACAAAATTTGTTGATAACATCTCACCCACTCTCTCATTTGCTCTCTTTTTACATTGCTTCACCACTCTCTTAACCTCTCTCTTTTTCTCCATATACTCTTCCCTCCTTGCATCACTTCTACTTTGTAAAAACTTCTCATATGCTAACTTTTTCTCCCTTACTACTCTCTTTACTTCATCATTCCACCAATCGCTCCTCTTCCTTCCCGCACCCACTTTCCTGCAACAAACTTCTGCTGAACACTCTAACACTACATTTTTAAACCTACCCCATACCTCTTCGACCCCATTGCCTATGCTCTCATTAGCCCATCTATCCTCCAACAGCTGTTTATATCTTACCCCAACTGCCTCCTCTTTTAGTTTATAAACCTTCACCTCTCTCTTCCCTGATGCTTCTATTCTCCTTGTATCACATCTACCTTTTACTCTCAGTGTAGCTACAACTAAAAAGTGATCTGATATATCTGTGGCCCCTCTATAAACATGTACATCCTAAAGTGTACTCAACAATCTTCTATCTACTAATACATAATCCAACAAACTACTGTCCTTTCGCCCTACATCATATCTTGTACACTTATTTATCCTCTTTTTCTTAAAATATGTATTACTATAACTAAACCCCTTTCTATTCAAAGGGCTCCCATTATCATTTACACCTGGCACCCCAAACTTACCTACCACACCCTCTCTAAAAGTTTCTCCTACTTTAGCATTCAGGTCCCCTACCACAATTACTCTCTCACTTGGTTCAAAGGTTCCTATACATTCACTTAACATCCCCCAAAATCTCTCTCTCTCCTCTACACTCCTCTCTTCTCCAGGTGCATACACA